GTTTCAAGGACAAAAGTATCAAAAAAGGAGGATTTTCAGTGAAGAGGAACTAATCAAGGAACCAATGGTCAATAAACATGGATTTTTTTAAAAAGATGTTCTCTGGGACCTAATGGCCAATAAACGTGGATTTTCGGAGAAAATGTTGTCAAGGGCCTAATGACCAAAAAACGTGGATTTTCAGAGATGATGTTGACAAGAACCAAATTATCAAAAAATTTATTGTTGATCCTTTGGGTCCTTGGGAAATTTTTTTTTAATCTACGTTTATTTGTAATTTGATCCTTTTTAAAGAAGATTTTTCAATGTATTAACAAATTTGGATTATTAAAGGACGAAATAATAAAGAAAGGAAATTGTATCAAGGACAAAAAATTACAAACAAGTGAATTTTCAGAAAAGAGGTTGTCAAGGAGCCAAAGACCAATAAAAATGGATTTTTTTAAAAAGATGTTGTCAAAGACCTAATGGCCAATAAACGTGGATTTTCAGAAAATATATTTTCAAGGACCTAATGGCCAATAAACCTGGATTTATAAAGAAGATGTTGTCAGGGACCAAATGATCAAAAAATGTATTACTGGTCCTTTGGTCCTTAGGAAAAAATATTTTATTTTGAATCTACGTTTATTTGTAATTTGGTCCTTTTTAAAGAAGATTTTTCAAGCTATTAACAAATTTGGATAAATACAGGACGAAATAATCAAAAACGTAGATTTTTAAGAAAATCGTTTTAAGGACTATTGTACAAAAAAATAGTGAATTTTCAGGGAAGAGGTTGTCAAGGACCCAATGACAAATAAAAATGGACTTTTTAAAAAGATGTTGTCTGGGACCTAATGGCCAGTAAACGTGGATTTTTGGAGAAAATGTTTTCAAGGAACTAATGACCAATAAACGTGGATTTTCAGAGATGATGTTGTCAAGGACCAAATGATCAAAAATGTATTATTGGTCCTTTGGGTCCTTGGGAAAAATATTTTTTTTTTAATCTACGTTTATTTGTAATTTGACCCTTTTTAAAGAAGATTTTTCAAAGGATAAACAAACGAGCACGAAATAATCAAAAAACGTAAATTTTAAGGAAATCACATCAAGGACAAAAGTACAAAAAAGTGCATTTTCAGGGAAGAGGTTGTCAAGGAACCAATGACCAAAAAAAAAATAGATTTTTTAAAAAGATGTTGTCAAGGACAACGTAATCCAAAAATGTATTATTGGCCCTGGGGAAAAATATTTTTTTAAATCTACATTAATTTGTAATTTGTTCCTTTTTAAACAAGATTTTTCAAGGATTTTTAAGGAAAATCGTTTCAAGGACAAAAAGACCAAACAACATGACTTTTAGGGAAGATGCTGTTGTTGTTGACCAATAAACATGTATTTTCGTAAACATGCATGTTTTAAAGACTATTTTTCAAAGGACCAAAAAACGTGGATTTTTTAAAAGAAAATATTTTCGAACGACCAAAAAACGTAGATTTTTAAAAGAATATTGTCCCGAAAGACAAAGTGACGAATAAATGTTGATTTTTTAAAGCTTAAGAAAGAAATGTTCGGCCGTGTGAAATTTTTACAGGTCATATAGAGCCCAACAAAATTTTAGAGATCTACCATGGAGACCTTCCTTTCCAGGTGTTGCAACGGAGTAACAAATTGAATATATCCAATTTATTGCAGGGGGTAAAAAAAACTTCGAGAGGTGTTCCATGGTTAAAGAGTTCTTCTATTAGTAGATAATGTTTCGGAGGTCTAATATTAGAGAACTCGAGAACTCTTCCAAAGACATTCAGTAGACATATGACCTTTTTAAATTCTCCTAACATAAAAAGACCTTCCGGAATTCTACAAAAGGTGGAATGCCCGAGTCGAACACCTTGAAAACATTCCACAGTACTTTTGTAAATGAAAGAGCTGTCATAGGGCGCCCACAATTCATCGATGGAATTTTCTTTAGACAAGTATCCCGTTTACAGTTTTTCTAAAAATACCTTCGACAGATAGTCAATGGCTATTCTAATGATGGAAACCGTCTACTAGACTTCTTTAGGACTTCTGTAAATATAACATCGTCATCTAGTGTTTAATAGGGCTTTTAAATGCTTATAACGCATTTATAAGCGTTTTGGTTATTGAAAATTTTGACGATTTGTGGGGGAGGTTCCAGAAGGGCCGATATATTCCATGTTCACGCCAAGTCTTGAGTTAGCAGAAATATTGGGATTTACTATCGGATGCTCATATCGCGTTTTGACCCTTATTTTTCATATTTATCACCGATAAATTCCATATTCACATCATATCTCTAGCTGAGAAAAATGATTATTCAAAATTTTGATCTTTTGTGTGGGGGATGTACCAGAAGGAGTGGTCTGATATTTTCCATCTTCATACTAGACGTTGGTTATATAAAAATAGAGTGATGTGTGTAATTTAGAGACAGTCGGACACTGACATCACATTTTATAAGAGTTATAATTATTCAAAATTTTGACCCATTGTGGGGGAGGTACTTGATAGAGTGGACCATCATTTTCGCATCTGACCTAGCAGTGATGCAAATATTAGGATTTGCAAAGTTGGAGCACAATCGGATTATCCTTTCTCCTGTGCAGTACAAAATTTTTTTTTGCAATCTTCGACCTTTTGTGGGGGATCTACAAGAAGAAGTGGTCCGAAATATCCCATCGTCACAGCTAGTCTTGTGTTAGTAGAAATAATGGGATGTGTGAAATATAAAGAGAATCGGATGCTTATTTCGGATTTTATAATCGTTTTGGTTATTCGAAACGTTGACACTCTGTGGGGAAGGTACCGAGTGGACTGATATATTCCATTTTCACACCACTTAATAAAAATATTGTGATGAGTGTAATTTCAAGACAATCGGACACTTACATCACATTTTATAAGAGTTATAAATATTCAAAATTTCGACCCTTTGTTGGGGAGGTACTTGATGGAGTGGACCGATATTATCCATTTTCGCACCTGACCTAGCAGTGATGCAAATAATAGGATTTGCTAAGTTGGAGAAAAATCGGATTATCCTTTCTCTTTCTGTGCAGTAAAACATTTTTTTTTTTTTTTTAAATTTCGACCTTTTGTGGTAGATGTACAAGAAAGGGTGGACCGATATCCGAACTCTATCTATGTTTGATAATAATATTACGATGTACCAAGTTTGGACCAAATCGGACACTCCCTTCGTGAAATATCGTGCGCACCAACCAGACAGACGGATGGACGGTCGGACGGACGGATATCGCTATATCGACTCTAAATGCCCTAAAACGGATTTAGTCCAAAGAGACCTAGATTCTAGACCGTTATTTCGATGAGGCACGTTTTGGCCATAGCAAATTATATAGCTATATGGCTGAGGGTATAAAAAGGTGTACTATTTTGTACTTTTTTGAGGTATGAATGTCCAAGAAAATTGCTTCTTACGTCAGTCCTCCATAGGGTGACCTTCGCAAAGGATTTCGAAGTTAAAGCCTTTATCGATTGATCAACCACAAGTACGAATTTCACAAAAAATCATGCATATTTCACCCTTTCAAACTAAAGGTGGCCATCGTTCAAGAATTTTCCGATTGTTCTACGACAACAGTGTACTATTTTGTACCTTGCAGTACTTTACAATCGAAGTACGAGTTTTCAAAAATTCATCCATATTTCACATTTTCACAATAAAGGTGACCGTCGTACAAAACGTTAAAGTTCCAGCTTATTCCGATCGTTTCATAACTACGGTGTAACATTTTGTACCTTGCAGTACTTTTCGCTACCTCGACCAAAAATGTTGTACTATTTTGTCCCTTTCGTACCTTCGAAGTACGAATTTCCAAAAAAATCATGTATATTTCTCCCATCCTCAATAAAGATGACCGTCACACAAAATGTGAGAGTTCCAGAGCATTTTCTGATCATCTCACAACTACTGTGTAACATTTTGTACTCTGCAGTACCTTCCAAAACCTCAAGGCACAAATTTCCAAAAAAAAATCTTGTAATTTTCTAGCCTTACGCACTGAGAGTGGCCATCGTTCAAAATTAAAAAACTTCTAGTTCGCTTAATAACAATTATGTAGCAATTAAGAACCTTTTCAATAGATCGAAGGGCTCCTTAAGGACTTCTATGAATGAAAGTCTTCCATCTCTTAAGGATCTTTGGAAGTTCATCCGTATATAAATGGTATTAAATCCCTTTCATACAAATCCCCTCAACAATTTTGCAATATCCGCCTATTCCCCCACTTCCCCTCCAGTTTAAAAATTAACAACACATTGTATTGCTGGTGAATTCAAAATGGGGGAAAACTAATTCGAAACAGAACAACAAAGAGACGATGCTTAACAAGAAAAGTTCATTTAATTTTAAGCGCATTCAGTTAATTGATGTTGTTGTTGTAGGTGTTGGTGGCGGTATTACACCTTAAGCGTTACTAATGTGACTAAAATTACAAATACTCCTTTTCGCCAATACCTGCATTCATGCGATGATGCAGACAGACACACACACACACACATATCCTGATGAGAATAATGAGGATGCCACTACTACTGCTACTGCCATGGCTTCTCCTGCTACTGGTACTGATGATGATAATGGCAATGATGATTGTTGGAGCACGACGTGATTTTATTAAATGGCAAACTAACGCAGATGAGCTCTGGCTCCAGCTCACCTCTGCAATTTTTTTGTAACACGTCATGTTCTTACACATAGTTTACACAACACTGTTTCGTTGATGTCGCTTTTTTTCCTATTTGTCCTCATCTGACATGTAATGTAATTTTTATTTTCAAGGGTATTAGGATGTGTGTGTGCGAGTGTGTGTGAGTGTATCAATGTGTGTGTGTGTGTCTGTTTACATATTCCCTGAAATTGGTTTTTCAAATCCCAACAAAAATGTTCTCCGCCAATGTCTTATTTGTATATGAGTTTTTTCTCACCTCCTTCTCACTCTTCTTCTTCTTCTAATTTTTCTTTACAGTTACATAATCACGAATTTGTCGAGGTGTGCATGAAGATCCTCTACCAAGTGGAACTGCATCGCACAACGCTGGAACAAATGTGGGGCTTCTCCGTCGAGGCAGAACTTATTGAAAACGCCGAACGCCAGGACGAGCTGTGCTGCTACGTCAGTCGCGTCGAGGATAAAAGTGTTGCCATGCAAAATGGTAAGTTTCGTTTTGGAATTTTATTTTATTTCCATTTTGAAATATTTGGTGTCTTCGAGACATTGAAAAGCAGAGGTATGAGTTTGTATTGGCCTCGTGTCATAACTCCAAGTTGTGTCAAGGATTTAAATAAATTTCAAACTTGTCTCAGAGGATATGTTGCACAAATTGATAGATTGATTTTTTTGTTATTTTTTGATTAGAAATATTGAAAAACTTGTTGTCTGCTACGAATACGGATATTTATCAATGTATGGGTATGTCATATGTAAGGAAACTATAATATAGGGATAAATCAATAATTTTTAAAGGGCCAATAAAGTAGGATGGTTTTCTTGTCAGAGAAGATGATTTTGTCAGGCTGGTCATATTTATCGAAAATAGAGGTTCGATACCAGTTTAAACTAAATTTAAGATATTTCTACAACTCTTGGTGCTTAATTTTTTTATTGATTTAAAAAATGGGTCATATAAGTCCACTTTTTGGTATAGTTTAATTTAGTCCCGGATGAGCCCCGATATTCAGTATTTTTATACCCTCAACCATATGGCTACAGAAGAGGGTATATATCATTTGATGCGGTCAAAACGTGCCTCATCAAAATAACTGTTTTAGACCCTGGGTCTCTTTGGACCAAATCCGTTTCAGGACATTTGGAGTCGATCTAGCGATGTCCGTCCGACCGTCTGTCTGTCTGGCTGGTGCGTACGATAACTCTCGAAGGGTGTATCCAATTTGATTCAAACTTGGTACATCGTAATATTATTGTCAAACTTAAATCGAGTTCGGAGTTGGGCAATATCCGTCCACTCCTTCGGGTACCTCCCCCACAAAATGTCAACATTTTCAAAGAAAACAAGTTAATAAAAAGTATCAATCGGTTCTGGCGACAGACGTATACCCTCAGCTATTGTTCGATTATTTAAATATATTTTGGCTTCTGTTATGATTATTAAAACTATGGCGTGTGTACTAAGGGAATGGATCAATATTGTCTATTTCGTATTGGACCTAAATAAATACGATATATGAATGGGGTAACTAGGTAACAGGTTGGTAACCTTTTTCACTTAACATGACACATGTGATAATCTTTAGAAAATGCTAACATGTGCGTGAAGTACCAGGTATAGTCAATCGAAGTATTCCATTTTCATGGTCCGTCAAATACATAAAAAATATTGGTACCACCCATCGAGTACCTCCGCTACAAAGGGTCAAAATTTTTGACTAATTATAACTATTTTAAATTGTGATGTGAGACTCCGATTGTCTTGGTTCCTTCTGGTACCTAAAATCTAAAAAATATAGATTTTATCGAAATTTATGTCTTTTAACGAATGTGGTGATTTGTTTAGTACCCCATTTAGTACTCCTTATCTCACTACTCCACACAACAAGCGACTAGAGTTCAAAATTGTTAAAATTCCAACTCATGAGTATAGATCGCTCATTAACAATATTGTAGAATTTTGTACATTTTAGTACTTTTGTGTACACTAAAATTATGATTTTGCAATAAGCTATAGCCGGTCACTTAATAAAAATTGTGTACCATTTAGAAATCATCGTACTCTAATACCGTACCACTACACAACACCTGGCCATCATTCATAATTTCAAAATTAAAGCTCTCATCAAAAACAATATTGTACCATTTTGTACAATTTAGTACTTTTTGTAACTTTAAGTACTACTGCAGCACTTCAAGGGACCTGCATGCTACATTTCGCATATTTAGCTCTTACCACTCGCTCAATGTTGTTCCATTTTGTACCTCTTGGTACTTTTCGTGACTATGAAGTGGTCGATGAAGAACAATGTTGTACACTTTTGTACCTCTTAGTATTTTTTGTACGCTTAAAGTTCGAATTCCCAAACAGTCCTCATTATCTAACACTTCCACGCCGAGGGTGACCCTCATAAAAAATATCAAAGTTCCAACTTTTCCCAATTGTTCCATAGCAGCGGTATAACATGTTTAACTCTTTAGTACGTTTCGTACACTTAAGGCACTCTCTCATTATTTTTTCCCCTACGCATTATACAAAATTTTATAGTTGCAGCTATTACGATCGCCCAATAACAATGTTGTACCATTTGGTACATTTATGTACTTTTCACTCTTTTAAAATGTGAATTTCCCAAAGTTCTATCTTCCTTAGTATGGATGGAACCAATTTGGAATTTTGGAGATACTAAATGGGTACAAAACGCATAAATGTGTACTTAATACTGATATTATGTTTACAGCTTGAAAATCTCATATTTGGTATGTGGGTCACACTTGGTATGTAATCCTGTAAGATAAACTTTTTTTCTTTGTAAATCTGCACAAAATGTTACGAAATTAACCAATGTCGCCAAATATTGACATTTTGAGAAATTGGAGACCAAAGAAAAACGAGATTTGGTGAGAGGGAACCATATGGAATTTTTCAGAATTCTACCGCGACCTGTTTCCTAAATACCCGGACACAGAATTTGATACCTTCATACCTTTTAGTTTAAATATCCAAAAGCCAGACCTATAAAACCACCTCACATCATCAGACGCTACCTAATTTCTGAATACTACGACAACGAACTTCGTACATTTTAGTACTTTTCGTACTCCTTTAGTTCAAATTTTCAAAAATGAAGCAGTATCAATAGTGATCAGCACTTCAATTTATAGAATTTTAGGTTTGAATTTCACGAAACTGAATTTAGTGCATTTTAGTACTTTTCGTACCCTTACAGTTTGAAGTTCCAAAAATCGATGTCATATCAACGCTTGATCCACAAACAAAAGTTTGGAGGTGTTCAATGTACGTTTAGGTACTTTTTGTTCCCTTTTCGTACGAATTTTCGAAAATTCAGCTTTATCTCACACTTACATACTGATATGCACTTTAATTTTAAGAATTATAGCTGTAGCTATCCTTTGAATACTACGATAAACGAATTTGGTACATTTTAGTACCTTTCATACTCCTTTAGTACGATATTTTTTTCAAAAGCAGCAACATCTCAAACTTGCACATTAATCGTAAAGTATTCTCTGAATACTACGACACTGAATTTAATACATTTTAGTACTTTTCGTACCCTTATAGTTGAAAGTTTCAAATATCAGTCCCATATCATCGCTACAAATCAAAATTAATGATCCACAAGCAAAATTTTGATCACTTTGTCCTTGTCAGTCACTTTGCTAAATATGTTGGTACAAAATTTTGTACAGTTAGTAACTTATTGTACCCTTTTAATATACATTTTAAAAATGAAGGTTTGCACACAAATATTGATCCGCATTTCAATCTTTAGAATTCCAACTATAAATATTCTTTGAATACTGCGACACTGATTTTAGCAACTTTTGGTACTTTTCGTACTCCTTTAGTTCGAATGCAGGAGCATCCCAAAAATTCATACCAATAGTAATCAGCAATCCAATATTTAGAATTCTAACCTATCAAAACTTTGAATTCTACTAGATTAAATGTAGTAAATTTTAGTATTTATGGTACCGTTATAGTTCGAAGCTCCAAATATCAGTCACACATCACCGCTAGCACCCATAATTGATTCACGAGCTAAGATTTGAGGTTGTTTGTTTGTGAATTTGCTAAATATATTGGTACAGAATTTTGTACATTTAGGTACTTTTTTTGTAACCTTTTATCATGAATTTTCGAAAAGGAAGCCTTTTCCGCACCTTGCACACCAATGGTAACAATTTTTTTATTTCTTTTAATTTTTTTTTTCAAATTCTAGATTTAATTATTTCTTATATACAGCGACACGTACTTTATACATTTTGGTACTTTTCATATCCTTTTGGTCCAAAATTTAAAAAATCAGGTACTTTTTTGTGCCCTTTTAGTACAAATTTAAAAAAAATCTTATCTCACCATTAGTTTTTAACAAACCAAAATTTAAATTTTTATACCCTCCACCATTCCATGAAGGGTATATTGGCTCCCATATAACGGTACCTCCCGATATTCGGTATTTTCATAATTATAGCGACATTATTTACCGGAATTATTTTAAATTTCGTATTTGAAGTTCGTAATGGGGACCACAGCCTATGACAAAAAAATTCGTTGCCAGGTCCTCGTCTTCATAACAGTTTTCGAACAACTTCAAGTTCCTCCCAAAGGTGGAGGGTATTAAATGTTCGGCCTGGTCGACCTTAGCTGCTTTTTTTACTTGTTTTCCTTTAAACCTCGCTAAATTCGTGGCCTATTACATTTCTGTACATTTTAGTAAATTTTGTATCCTAGTACATTTCGGTACATTTTAGTACCCTTTGTATCCTATTATTTTCAATTTCCACAAATCCAATCTTCTCTAACCCAAATACACAGACAATGGCCGACTTCCCAAGCACTCAACAAATTCCGCATTTTAAAGATCTCTGGAACAACTTATTCCGAGTAAAACAATGTCCCTAAAATAACTTATAAAGGTAAGACGGAGACATTTCCTTACAAAAAAAAAAAAGATTCACCCACCTTCAACTAAGATCTCAAATATAATAACATTTCGTGGCCAATCGCCAAAAATGTTGGCCTACCTCTTTAAAATCGCAAATAAAATAATGACTTTTTCTTTCAAACCCATTCTCATTATTATCAATTATGTATACCGCTCTTTAATGTCACAAGGTATCCACAACAGTATAATTTATGTCTTATAATCCACCATTCTTACCACGAACACTTTTTTTAACAACTTAACATTTTCATTAATCCCCAACAGAGCAATGAATCGAAAATTGAAACCTTTTTTTTGGCATCAATTCAATATTTAAATAAATCGCCTGTTTACCAAATTATTACCAAGAGATTTTGGCCTGATTGCTGTTGCGATTTATTGAATTTTAAATGAAATCAAATTGCATTTAATTTAGTTCAATTACGAAAATCGGGGCGGGGCCGGGGATGGGGCTAGTAGGTCACTTGGGTAACAACAAATTAAGAATATTTGCTGATGCCGTATAAAAGCGATT